ATCACTGTAAATTATGAGGCAAGACCTCAGTTCACTTCCTCAGTAAACTACTGGTTCTTCTGCATGTCCAGGCTACAACCTCAAGTATTCTCAGTAAGTAGAATCTTTCCTTAAAGCTGCTTAATGAAGTCAGATAACAAGTGATGAATCTATTGTATCTGCTAGGGGACCTCCAGTCCTTTTTGTAGGTCGTAGTCCTTTTAGTTTGTTTGGTTTTTTTGAGACGGAGTCTCACTCTGTCGCCCAGGCTGGAGTGCAATGGCACGATCTTGGCTCATTGCATCCTCCGCCCAGGCAATTTTCCTACCTTAGCCTCCCGAGTAGCTGGGATTACAGGTGCCCACCACCATGCCTAGCTAATTTTTGTATTTTTAGGAGAGACAGGGTTTCACCATGTTGGCCAGGCTGGTCTCGAACGTCTGACCTCAAGTGATCCGCCCACCTTGGCCTCCTGAAGTGCTAGGATTACAGGTGTGAGCCACCGTGCCTAGCTTATAATGGCTATATTAAGAACATACTATGTGCCGGGCACTATGAGAGGTCCTGGGGATACCAATACAAGGGGACAATGTCCTAGTCCTTAAGAGGCTGACATTCCAGTTTAGGGCTACCACATGCATCAGATAAGTCAGCTCTATGGGGCAGGAGAATGGGAGCGGTCATGTCTCCCTAAGAGGTAACCAAGAAAGGAAGTTAACTGGTAAGAGCAACAGATGCTTTGTCTGATACTGAGAATAGCATGAGCCAGAGGGAGCCATTGGTCAAGAATGACGCACTGGACATGTGGAGCTGAGGCTGGAAGGCTCTGCAGCCTTGCTGGGAAGTGCACACCTTACCCTGCAGGCGAAGGAAACAAACACTTCCTATTGGCAAGTCTTCAGGTAATGTCAATCAAATTATTTCCCAGTTTTCTCCCAGAGATTACAGAAGGATTTTATTTCATTTATTTAATACATTACATTGATTGTGTTCTTTTATATATATTAGATATGTATTATGGACCAGTTGTTAACAAAATTTATACCTTTGCTATAAACCATGGATAGACTATAGCAAAATGTCTAAAAGGTATATTGTGGTATCTGTTGCTCTTATAAGATAAGCTGGCTTATCTGATACATGTCATATCCCTCAACTGAAATGTCAACTTCTTAAGGACTAGGACCTTATCCCTTTGTATTGGTATCCCCAATAGTGATTTCTAGTTGTTGCTTTTTTTTAAGATGGGGTTTCACCATGATGGTCAGTCTGGGTTTGAACTCCTGACCTTAGGTGATCCACCCACCTCGGCCTCCCAAAGTGCTAGGATTACAGGCTTGAGCCACCATGCCCGGCCTGTATTTTTTTTTTTTTTTTTTTTTTTTTTTTGAGACGGAATCTTACTCTATCACCCAGGAAGGAGTGCAATGGCATGATCTCGGCTCACTGCAACCTCTGCCGCCTGGGTTCAAGCAATTCTTCTGCCTCAGACTTGAGAGTAGCTGGGCTTACAGGCACCTGCCACCGTGCCCAGCTAATTTTTATATTTTTAGTAGAGACGGGGTTTCACTATCTTGGCCAGGCTGGTCTTGAACTTCTGACCTCGTGATCCATCTGCCTCAGCCTCCCAAAGTGCTGGGATTACAGGTGTGAGCCACCACACCTGGCGGTTTCTAGTATTTTTGTTTTTTTGAGACAAGGTCTCGCTCTGTCACCCAGGCTGGAGTGCAGTGCTGCAGTCACAGCTCACTGCAGCCTCAACCTCCTGGGCTCAAGTAATCCTGACTCTCCCACTTCATTCTTCTGAGTAGGTGGAACCACAGATGTACACCACCCTGCCCGGCTAAGTTTTGTATTTTTTTTGTAGACATGGAGCATTACTACCCAGGCTGGTCTCAAACTCCTGGATCCAGTGGCTTAAAAATGACCAAAAAGTTTAATATTTGCTATTTCCCAATTTTTATCAACTATGCTACTAGCATTTCTCAGTAGACATGGGCATTGCCAGAGCTGTTGTTCTCCAGCAGTCTGCAGAGGTATTCAGAAATGATTCTGCCCATAGTCCTAGGCAAATCTCTTGTGTTGCTTGTAGGAAGCCAAAAAGATCCTTGCCTGGAGCCCCTGCCTCAGGCCTTTGTTCAAGTGTCACCTTATCCAGTTCTGCCCGTCCTGATAGTTCGTATTCTGCTTTTTCATTTTTCATACCACACACATCTCCATACTGTTTACTAACTTGTATTTGTTTATCCCTGCTAGACTCTAAGTCTCTTAAAATTTAGTAGGGATCTTTGTGTGTTCTGTTCACTGGTGTATCTCAAGCACCTAGAACAGGGTTCCCCATCCCCTGGGCCACAGATTAGTACTGGTCCGTGGCCTGTTAGGAACCAGGCCACACACGGCAGAAGGTGAGCAGGCAGGAGAGCATTACAACCTGAGCTCAGCCTCCCGCGGATCAGCGGCATTAGATTGTCATAGGAGCTGAACCCTATTGTGAAGTATGCACACAGTGCATCTAGGTTGTGCACTCCTTATGAGAATCTAATGCATCCCCTCCACCCCCAGTCTGTGGAAAAATTGTCTTCCACGAAACTGGTCCCTGGGTGCCAAAGAGGTTGGGGACTGCTGACTTAGACCAATGCTTTACAGAAGACCTAGACTCAAAGGGCAGTACCTTGGTAATTAGGAAGTATAGAAGTTTCCTTCTGAATTCTTTTATCTGGCAAAAAAAGGAAGTCAGTCAGTTCTTGGAAAGAACTGCACTGCACTCCACTCCAAGCAAAATGCTGCACTGTATAACAAAGCCAATTTTACCACAGTTGATATTGTTTAAAAAAAAAAAAACAACAACTTCAGCTGAATTCAATTTAAAAGAGCTTAATTTAGCAAGAATGATTCACAAATTGCACAGCCTGCTGAGCCAGAGTAGGCTCAGAGACTCCAGTGCAGTTACGTGGTTTAAGAGAATTTATGGACAGAAAAAGGAAAGTGATGTACAGAAAATGGAAGTGAGGTACAGAAACAGCTGGATTGGTTATAGCTCGGCACTAGCCCTGTTTGAACATGGTTTGAACAGTTGGCCATATTTGATTGGCCAAAAGTTGAGGACTGGCACAAGAGTAGGCTGCAGTCTGTATATACCTCCACTTGTTACAGTTCTTGATGTACATGCAGAGAAACCTTTAGGCTGAATTTAAAATATGTAAGGAGGCAGCCAAAATTTATTTAACAATATAAACAAGAGTTAACTTCCTATGACACAGACAGTATGTGATTTCACTTCAAGTCACAGTTTGCAAGAACCTACCGAGGAAGTTAAGTAAGGACTTAACCGCACTCCCTTAAGGCTTCTCCGCCTCTTGTCATTGACCATCCTTTTGTCACTAAACGGAAAGGAGTTACTAAGTCAAGAATGAAGATCTTATTGAGCTTGCTACAGCAAGCTGCTCATCCCTGCTTGCATGTCTTTAGCACTGAGGATAAAGAGCATGGTGCCCGGGAAAGTGAACTTAAGGGTCATGGAAATAAAGAGGGGGTGGGGTCTTAGATTCTGATTGCAGAGCACTATGAACTGACCGTAACAGATGGTGTTCTTTTAAACAGGTATAAAAGTTTGGTCACTGGGACTCGAGCAAGAGGGGTCATTGCTGTCCTCTGGGTCCTTGCCTTTGGCATCGGATTGACTCCATTCCTGGGGTGGAACAGTAAAGACAGTGCCACCAGCAACTGCACAGAGCCCTGGGATGGAACCACGAATGAAAGCTGCTGCCTTGTGAAGTGTCTCTTTGAAAATGTGGTCCCCATGAGCTACATGGTATATTTCAATTTCTTTGGGTGTGTTCTGCCCCCTCTGCTTATAATGCTGGTGATATACATCAAGATCTTCATGGTGGCCTGCAGGCAGCTTCAGCGCACTGAGCTGATGGACCACTCGAGGACCACCCTCCAGCGGGAGATCCATGCGGCCAAATCACTGGCCATGATTGTGGGGATTTTTGCCCTGTGCTGGCTACCAGTGCATGCTGTTAACTGTGTCACTCTTTTCCAGCCAGCTCAGGGTAAAAATAAGCCCAAGTGGGCAATGAATATGGCCATTCTTCTGTCACATGCCAATTCAGTTGTCAATCCCATTGTCTATGCTTACCGGAACCGAGACTTCCGCTATACTTTTCACAAAATTATCTCCAGGTATCTTCTCTGCCAAACAGATGTCAAGAGTGGGAATGGTCAGACTGGGGCACAGCCTGCTCTCGGTGTGGGCCTATGATCTAGGCTCTGGCCTCTTCAATCCACAATAAACAAAGAGGACACGGCTGGCTGATTCTCACTGTGAAAGATAGCTACACCTCACAAGGAAATGGAATGCCTCTCTTGGGCACTTCCCTGGAGCTATCACATATCTAGCTAATATGTATGTGTCACTAGTAGGCTCCAAGAGTTGACAAATATATTTATGATCTATTCAGCTGCTTTTACTGTGTGGATGATGCTGATAGCTTGGATGGATTCTAACAGACTGTTTTGTTTTTAAAAGTCTGCCTTGTTTATGGTGGAAAATTACTGAAATTTTACTGTGAAACACTGTGAACTATCATAATGCAAATATTTTTTATCTTAGAGGCAATGGAAAAATAAAAGTTGGCTGTACTAAAAATGTATACTTGCTCCTAGGAAGGTGTCCTCAAAAATTACAAGTATAATTATTTGGCCAGGCATGGTGGCTCATGCCTGTAATACCAGCACTTTGGAAGGCCAGGGCAGTTGGATTACAAGGTCGGGAGTTCGAGACCAGCCTGTCCAATGCAGTGAAAACCCACCTCTACTAAAAAATACAAAAATCAGCTGGGTGTGTGGTGGTGTGCGCCTGTAGTCCCAGCTACTTGGGAGGCTGAGGCAGGAGAATCGCTTGAACCTGAGAAGTAGAGGTTACACTGAGCCGAGAGCACCCCACTGCACTCCAGCAGGTGACAGAGTGAGATACCATCTCAAAAAAAGTACAATTATTCAATCAAGAGACTGCTGTATTAATTTAAGGAAATTATAGTCTCATAAGTCGAATTTTGATCACATAATTTTAAGCTCCATTCTCTTCCATATACAGAAAACTACCCGAGGGAAAAAGGCTGGTGAAATGGGATTCCCTCCTCTACCAAATTCTGCCATCTCGAGCTAGGTAGGGAATTTTGCTTCGCTCCAAAGTTCCAAAGTTCAAGTTTGGTTAAGTTCTTGGAATCCAAAGTGTGAAAATTTTACTAAGCAAAATTATTTAACTCTGTGTGTATATGAGGTTAAATAAAAATAAAACTTAAAAAGACAAGCTTAGGGTGCTGCATTGGCTTGTTCCATCTACCTTCTAAACTTTACCCTGAAGGCTGCTGGGAAAAAAGTAAGTTATACTGAGTCCAAGTTTCCCAAGTAGCAGAAAATTCCTGATAGATTTTATTTGTTACACTTTAACAAAACAAAAAACATCTGCCAACCACAGAACATTACAACATCCGGGCCCTGGGCTTTTCACCCAGCATTTATTCACTAGCATCTCATGTTCTGGGGGCAAAAGCATGGGCTTTTCTTAGGCTGTGAAATCACCTATATCCTCTGTCCATTGCGTCAATTCCTCCTGCAGTATCCCTGCAAGGATATTGCATGCTTATGAAATGCTGCAGACAGGGAGTTCCTGTCCTTCTAGGATCCTCTTCTGGCTGTGGCAGCTTTACCATAAGTTCTTGTCTTATGATGAAATCGATTTTATTTTCTTCATGAATTATTTTCTTGGCTCTTAGTGTCCAACTGAGTCTCATCGCTCTCTCTTCTAAAACTCTTGTTAGCTATTTTGTCTTTTCTTCTTTGGACTGAAAGTCCCTGGCAGTAGCTGTAGTTTTCTTTTAGGACATGATTTTTTATCTTTTCCTTCATTTGCCCTGTTACAAAGATCAGAAATGCATGCAGAGTGAAACCAGTTCTTCCCTTAATCTCGATACTACCTCTCAAACAATACAGTCTACTTAAGCTGTTTTGCTACCGATATCAGATGTTTGAAGCTTACAGAAAACAGAACCTCTAGGAGTCTTTTCATACCTGCTGCTGTTTAGCCACATCTCTGCTATGATCTACTGTTCATGCTCAATAGTTTTCTGGATACAAGGAGATGAACTACCTACTCATATCAACTTCATCCTACTCTTTTTAGCCTACCATTCCAACCTTTTAAAAATTACTACTAATTCAGTTACTTAAGACTAAATAATGTGAACATAACATGATATTAAGCTTTATTTGAATTTAAAATCTTGATTCCATCCAGGGATATTTTTTACCCAAGTGCCTCAGAGACTGGCTCAGGTGTTTCTTAAGAAGTCTGCACAGGGCTTTGAACCATATGCAAACCCTCCACAGCCTACGGCTCCAACCCAGAGGACCTCCTGCAGTCACGGAAGGAAAAGGGACAGTAACAAGAAGTCTCTGAAGATGTATTTCACCTCTTTTCCATGTGAATCATGACATATTAAATGCATTTCTTGACAGGACTGTATTTTGAAAGAATGATCCTCAATCTGTACCTTTTATGGTTCTTGTTTCTTCTCCATCAATAATATGTCAGTCAACTGCTTGTCGGAGACACTTAGCTGCTGACAGGTCCTCATAACCTGACTAAGGTAAACTGCCAGGAGATGCTTGCACTGAAATATAAAACACACACACCTATTAGAAACAGGTAGAGCTGGGGTTGGCCAGTCTAACCAAGATTTCTCATTACCATCTTACTCAGCAGGCCCGAAGATATTCAAGAAGTTAACAGTGTAAAAGAAAGGGGAAGAAAGGAGTGGACATCATTATTTTCTTCTTTGGCAAGACTTAAAAACAGCTGCCTGCTTTCAGGAAGGTAGCGTTTTTCCCTTTGGAGTAAGATGTGTGTGAACATGTCCTGTTTCTGCTTCATGCACTGGACTCTGATTAAATTGGCAACGGCTTAAAGGAATAGGCAAAGGTACTTATATGCCATGTGAAGTTCAAGTGTGGTGCCAGCCTGTCTTACAGTTAATGTGAAGAGACTGCCAACATCAAATTTAGTTCACATTTTCATTGGGCGATCTAATTCCCCAATGCCCACTTCTGGGATTCCCTTTTTGTCCTTCTCAAAGCTTCACTCATGATCCTTTAAATAAAAATTCAGGAAATTGATGTAGTTCTAAAAATGACATTGCATTTGGGAGGTGAAACCCCTAAGAGATGACTAACTGAAGTCAAGGACAAAAAACTACTATCTGTTTCAACAAGTAGTAAGAGACCCATTTTATAGAATAGTTAAACCACAAAGTAAGGGTGATTTCTCTCTACATTCAATTACAGCAGGAAGAGCCTTCCCCATCCTCACCAGGATGCTGTCACTCTTCCGTAGCACTGAGAAGGCAAATGCAGGACATGAACAGTAATGACAAGAAGCCAAACATGTGTATGTTTTCCCAGAACTTCCAAGTACCTAAGAAGAAAAGGATAGACGGGATCAGACCTCAGGAGATGTGCTGGAAAAACCACCTCTTTCCCTTTTTATCTATTTAAAGACTCACAGCTGCTCTGCAAATTGCACTGAGAAGAACTGCAGTAATGTTTTACATAAAAGAGGAAGTAACAGGCTAGGCGCGGTGGCTCAAGCCTGTAATCCCAGCACTTTGGAAGGTCAAGGCAGGCGGATCACGAGGTCAAGAAATCGAGGCCATCCTGGTCAACATGGTGAAACCCCGTCTCTCCTAAAAATACAAAAATTAGCTGAGTGTGGTGGCGCACGCCTGTAGTTCCAGCTACTTGGGAGGCTGAGGCAGAATTGCTTGAACCCAGGAGGCGAAGGTTGTAGTGAGCTGAGATCACGCAATTGCACTCCACCTTGGGTAACAAGAGCGAAATTACATCTCAAAAAAAAAAAAAAAGAAAGAGGAAGCAACTTCTCTTCCCTTCAGTATTCAGTTAGGACTTCATAAAGAAATTGAAGAGTTTCAGGTTAGTTCAACCAACCACATAAATCATTCTGTTCCTGTGCCTAGTGATTCACAGGGCCCATGCTATGGGCTGACTGTAATTAGAAGGAAGTGGAGGGGAAATCTCTCATCTACATTTTATTGTGGGGGTTCTTAACCTTTGGTATTTTGCAGTAGGCGTGTATATTTCTAAAGCTTCCTACATATCTAAAGAGAGAGTAAAAACAGGTAAAGGGTCAGTAGCAGGGCAGGAGTAAGATATGTTTCAAGTTGGGTGTGGTTCATGCCTGTAATCCTAGCACTTTGGGAGGCTGAGGTGGGAGGATCACTTGAGTCCCAGAGTTCGAGACCAGCCTGGGCAACATGGTTAGACCTTGTCTCTTTAAAAAATTGTTTTTAAAAGTCAGATGTGGTGGCACATGCCAGTAGTCCCAGCTACTTGGGGGGCTGAGGCAGGAGGACTGATTGAGCCTGGGAGGTCAAGGCTGCAGTGAACTGTGATTGCACCACTGCACTGCAGCCTGGGTGATAAAGTGAGACCCATGGAAGAAAAAAAAAGATAGGTCACAGAAGAAGAAAAGAAGAAAGTGGGAAGAGGCTTTTGAAAAGCATTTGAGACCATGAGAACAGAGAGAATAAATAAAGCAAAGAACCTTGCAAAAGGAATGACTCAGCTGTTCAGAATGGAGGTCTCAGGAAAAGAGGCAAGCCCAGATCTGCCTACTCATCTAGCAGGATGGAAGCCGGACACTGATATATAGTGGGTTGATAAGAAGCCCAGCCTAACAGTCTTGGCAGTCAAGAGGAACAAAAAGGAAAGGTACAGGAAAAAAAAAAGAATTCATCTGTAGTATGACTGCACACATTTTTTGGAGAAATCATTCATTTAAGTCTCTCTACCACCAAGCAGCCAAAAACTTTTTGTTGAGGTCTTCATTCCTAAAGTTAACTTCCAAACTGGAGGCGTAAGATTATTATTAGTATTTGAGGGAAGCAGAAATATCCTAAGGGTGATTTTATAATAAACTGCCACTTAGGAATTTGCCACAGGGCCTTCAAAGCACTTTTAGGCTCTCAGGTGGCAATCTAAATGAAAAAGCAAAAACTTTTAATTTTTTTATTACAATATTAGCACTCCTAGGATTCTTTAATCTTTCCCACCTACAGAGAATAAAGCTACAGGTATGGTTTTACTGTAAGAAAAGAAACAGCAGATTCCAGTGCTGTGTTTTGTCACATTTTCAGTGGTTCATTTAATGCAGTTATCCCCATACAGTTTCTATTAACTTTTTATTTCTTTAAGATAAGGTCTTGCTCTGTCATCCAAGCTGGAGTGCAGTGGTGTGATCATAGCTCACTGCAGTATTGAATTGCTTGGCTAAAGTGATCCTCCCACATCAGCCTCCTGAGTAGCTAGGAGTACTGGTGTGTGCCACTACACTATGTTAATTTAAAAAGATTCTGTAGAGATGGGGTCTTGCTATGTTGTCCAGCTTGAACTGCTGGGCTTAAGTGATCCTCCCACCTCGGCCTCCCAAAGAGCTGGGATTACAGGCATGAGCTACGATACCCAGCCTCAGTATGTTTTTTTGATGCAGTCAGAATTCCTTGGGGGTTTTTAGGTTACCAGAAATGGCCAATGATTAGGTAAGAAGATGCCTGCTGAACCCATTCAATATTTCATCAGGCCGGGCACGGTGGCTCATGTCTGTAAGCCCAGCAATTAGGGAGGCCAAGGTGGGCAGATCATGAGGTTAGGAGTTCAAGACCAGTCTGGTCAATATAGTGAAATCCTGTCTCTACTAAAAATACAAAAATTAGCTGGGAGTGGTGGTGGGCGCCTGTAGTCCCAGCTACTCAGGAGGCTGAGGCAGGAGAATCGTTTGAACCCAGGAGGTGGAGGTTGCAGTGAGCTGAGATTGTGCCACTGCACTCCAGGCTGTGTGACAGAGTGAAACTCTGTCTTGGGGGAAAAAAAAAAAAAAAAATTTCAGCCCAGTTACAAATTAGGTGTTGAAAAACCACACCTTGCATATTACCTACTGTAAGGCTCTGACATGTTACAAACATACCATCTAGACCACTTAGTATCAATGAAAAGAATTCCCTAGCATGTGTGAAAATTTAAACCGAAGGAAGAGCATTAAAGCACATTGTTTTCCACTTAATCCTAAAGAAAACCCACAACATCCAGCAGTGACATGTAGAATTCTTTTTTCTTTTTTTGAGATGGAGTCTCACTTTGTTGCCCAGGCTAGAGTGCAATGGTGTGATTTTGGCTCACTGCAACCTCTTCCTCCTGGGTTCAAGCAATTCTGCCTCAGCCTCTTGAGTAGCTCAGATTACAGGCATGTGCCACCATGCCCAGCTAACTTTTTTTTTTGCCCCACCACCCCTAACTCTTGTATTTTTAATAGAGATGGGGTTTTGCCATGTTGGCCAGGCTGGTCTTAAACTCCTGACCTCAGGCTGATCCACCCACCTCAGCCTCCCAAACTGCTAGGATTCCAGGTGTGAGTGAGCCACCATGCCCGGCCTATAATTCTTAGGTGTCCAAACTATTAGCAATGAATAAAACTTTAGGTTTCTTCTCCCTTTAGTTACTCCTGTGTCTCTTCTCTCTAGATTTAAACTTAAGCAGGCAGAAGCCTCTGGGATTCTATACTAACTAGAATGATTCACTGCTTCCTTCTTATTGTGAGTCCCTCATCCATCATAATGCTCCCTGGATCATGCTAATAAATGTCTGGTGACTTGGGATGGGCAGAAATTCTACAAAGGTTTCCTTGCCTGAGCCTTTCAAGGGCTAAGACTCAAAAGTAAAATGTTCAACTGCCTAAAGCAATAAACACTAAAAGAGGTTAAATTTTGTATTTGCTTTTCGCTTATCTAGCAGTGGACAACTAATGAACCCAATAATCAGACAAAATCTGAGTTAGAAAATTTAGAACTGGAAATTGACCTTAAGGATAACATAATTCAGTTCCTTTACCCTTCAGTGATAAAACAACTTCCTCTTACAGGAATTGCTCCTAGTTTTCCCGCTCATGGTCTGGAATGTTTATCCCAAGAAGGAGAGAGCTTTTTAAAAAAGGAACATGCTGGAAAGAGGATGCTCAGATCATGGCTGACTGGACTTGCAGGAACCTCACTTGGAGGTGGTTTCTACGGTGGTTCTACTGTGGTTTCAGTTAGTTAGGCTACACGGAGAGTTGAACCATTTAGATGGTCATCCATTCATGGGTACAGTTTTATTTTATGACTGCTCCAAGCCTCTTAAGACACTTCAGGGTGTCTCAGTTATTCTTCTCTGGGTTTGGTGCTTCTCTCTGAAAATAGGATTACACATTCCTGTCCTGTTAAAATACAGGCTGACCACGTGACCTGCTTTAGTAAAATCTGAGTAGCCAAGCAGAAAAATGTTAAAAATTGTGTCCATGTCTTCTTTTTTCTCTTTGAGATTCACAATGTTCCAGATATGAGCTGCTTTACCACCTGGGATCCCTGAATGCAGATGTTCTGGAACAGAGAGCTACAACTGACTCCTGATGGATACATAGTATGAGTGAGATATAAAACTTTGTTTTGGGCTGGGCATGGTAGCTCACGCCTATAATCCCAGCACTTTGGGAGGCAGAGGCAGGTGGATCACCTGAGGTCAGAAGTTTGAGACCAGTCTGGCAAACATGGTGAAACCCTGTCTCTACTTAAAATGAAATTTAAAACATTGCTGGGCATGGTGGTGCATGCCTGTAATCCCAGCTACCTGGGAAGCTGAGGCAGGAGAATCGCTTGAACCCAGGAGATGTAGGTTGCAGTGAGCTAAGATCGTGCCACTGCACTCCAGCCTGGGTGACAAGAGCAAAACTCCGTCTCAAAACAAAACAAAACAACTTTATTTTTGTGAGCCTTTCAGATTTGGGATCACTGTCACCACAGCATAACTTAGCTTCTCCTGACTGAAATATCCCCCTTCCTAAGTGAACCAAGAAAGTATAAAAAGTGGCCAGGTATGGCAGCTCATACCTGTTAATCCAGCATTTTAGAAAGCAAAGGTGGTCGATCACCTGAGGTCAGGAGTTCCAGAACAGCCTGGCCAATATGGTGAAACCCCACTTCTACTAAAAAATACAAAAAGTAGCCGGCATGGTGGTCCACACCCGAAATCCCAGCTACTCAGGAGGCTGAGGTGGAAGAATCACTTGAAACCAGGAGGCAGAGGTTGCAGTGAGCAGAGATGGTGCTGCTGCACTCCAGCCTGGGCAACAGAGTAAGACTCTGTCTCCAAAAAAAAAAAAGGATAAAAAGCAACTCAGGTGTCAGCAACATAACGGTGGCTTTAGAATTATTTCACATTACATTTGGAGAATAAGAATATTAGAGTAGAACTACGGAATAAAGATTGAACTATGAAAAGATAATTAGCTGGACATTGAGGCAGTATGTGACTCAACTTTTATGATCTCATACAACTGAATTCAGCCAAATTCTTACTATATGACCATACAATGCAACCATTAAGGGTAATTTGAAGGTGTATAAGATTTCTACAGCCTCATTTAATTAAAAGTCCAAGATGATGGCCACAATTCTTAGAAGTTAGCATTTTATAATTAATAAACCAATGTAATATATACCAGATGGGAACAACAAAAACTAAACAAGTGACTTACAAGTCACTGTTGACCACTGGGAGGAACAAAAAGTCAACAGTAATTAAAATATTTCAAGCAGAAGTCTGCTTGCCCAAGTCGTGTATGCCCATAATGGAACCAAGATAGAAAATCCAGAACTAAAAGCACAGGGAAAAACCAAAAATAAAAACACCAGGAAAAGAGGACAGACACACCTCCTCAGGTACAAACTGCAAGTTCAGTGACTGATTATTAACCTCTTAGTTCACCATGAGAAAATTCATCTAATAGGTGGTCTCTTTTGAGTAAGAAAATACCATCCAAAAGTTTTAACCACAGCAACCAGCACCAATTACCACATTTTCCTTAATGCAGAAATGCATGAAGATTTTACCAGATCAGCATGAGTAAGGGCAAGTTAATTCACTAAGCGAAGGCATCTATCTACCCAAGCAGGCTTTGCTCAAGCCATTTACTTCCTAAGAATTGACACGGCCTTTTAGTGAGTTAACTGATATGGTCTCAGCTCTGAGAAATTCACTGTAAAGAAGACAGAATTCAAACTCTGAAAAATTTACCCTTTTCTGGTCTCAGTAAGGCCTGGATTACATATAAGAGCTGACAAAATTTTGGACACTGCTGCCCATGTTTTCATTTCATTAATGATTTCCTTCCCTCAATCACAGCTGCACTTACCCTGTGTCTCATATAGCTAAAATGGGGTGGGATTGTGCAGGGAGAAGGGTCAGGTGGTTGGAGTCTGGCTCCCTCTTTATATGGTCTTTATTCATGTCTCATAAGACAGGCAGTGTAGGGTAACCAGATGTGACTGGTACTTTACTTTTCTGCATTTCTGTTTCCTGCAGAAGAAATACCTTGCTGGGTTTTTGCAGAGATGGGTCTTACTCGTTGCCCAGGTCAACAGAGGGCTGAGATTACAGGCATGAGCCACCATGCCAGGCCCGTGAGCAGACTTCTACACAATGCTTTTAAGTAAAGTCAGTAGGATTTTATTTTATTTTTAATTTTTTTAAATTTTTTGAGACAGAGTTTCACTCTTGTTCCCCAAGCTGGAGTGCAATGGTGCGATCTCAGCTCACTGCAACCTCTGCCTCCCAGGTTCAAGCAATTCTCCTGCCTCAGCCTTCTGAGTAGCTGGGATTATAGGCATGCACCATTATGCCTGGCTAATTTTTTGTATTTTTAGTAGAAACAGGGTTTCATCATGTTAGCAGGCTGGTCTCAAACTCCTGACCTCAGGTGATCCTCCTGCCTCAGCCTCCTGAAGTGCTGGGATTACAGGCATGAGCCATTGAGCCCGGCCATCTTTTTTTTTTTTTTTTTTTGAGACAGAGTTTCACTCGTTACCCAGGCTGGAGTGCAATGGTGCAATCTCGGCTCACTGCAACCTCCGCGTCCTGGGTTCAGGCAATTCTCCTGCCTCAACCTTCTGAGTAGCTGGGATTACAGGCACGCACCACCATGCCCAGCTAATGTTTTGTATTTTTAGTAGAGACAGGGTTTCACCATGTTGACCAGGATGGTCTCGACCTCTTGACCTCGTGATCCACCCACCTCAGCCTCCCAAAGTGCTGGGATTACAGGCTTGAGCCACGGCACCCGGCCCAAGCCCGGCCATCTTAATTACAAAAATGTCTGAGGATTCTGTTAAGTGAAGCTATGCTAAGTGAAATAAGCCAGGTATAGAATGACAAATACCACATGATCTCACTTATATACGCAATCTACAAAAAGCTGAATTCATAGGCTGGGCGCAATGGCTCATGCCAATAATCCCAGCACTTTGGGAGGCTGAGGAAGGAGGACTGCTTGAGGCTGGAGTTCAAGACCAGCCTGGGCAACATAGTGGGACCCTGTCTTTGTTTAAAACAAATAAACATGGGAGGCTGAGGCAGGAGAATTGCTTGAACCTGGGAGTTGGAGGGTACCGTGTGCCAAGAGGGCACCACTGCACTCCAGCCTGATGCCTGGTGACAGAGCAAGACTCTGTCTCAAAAACAAAAAAACAAAAAAACAAAAAAGTTAACTCATAGAAGAAAGAAAGAAAGAAAGAAAGAATAGTGGTTACCAGGGGCCTTGGGGTTGGCAAGGAAGATAGAGAGATATTATTGGTCAAAGGGTACAAATTTCAGTTAGACAGGAGAAGTTCAGGATAACCATGGTACAACATGGTGACTATATTTAATAACAATGTATTGGCAAGGGGTGGTGCTCATGCCTTTGAGAGGCCAAGGTGGGAGGATCGCTTGAGCCTAGGAGTTTGAGACCAGCTTGGTGAGACCTTATCTCAACCAAAGAGATAAAAAGACTGAAGTATTGTATACTTGAAAATTGCTAAGATAGTGGATTTTAAGTGTTCTTACCACAAAAAATAAGTATGTAAGGTATTGGATATGTTAATTAATTTGATTCAGTTATTCTACAAGGTATCCATATATCAAAACATCATGTTATATGCCATGAATAAAGACAATTTCTATCAATTAAAAGTAAATAAGAATTTTTTTAAATTAACAATTTGTTAATTTTACCAAGTTAGGTCAAAAACTTTTTAATAGTCCAGGAAATTTTTTTTTGAGACAGAGTCTCCCTCTGTGATGAGGCTGGAGTGCAGTGGCCCAATTAGTGGCTTGATCTCTGCCCACTACAACCTCCGCCTCCCAAGTTCAAGCGATTCTCCTGCCTCAGCCTCCCAAGTAGCTGGGACTATAGATTTGTGCCACCAGCCTGGCTAATCTGTGTATTTTTAGTAAAGACAGGGTTTCACCATGTTGGCCAGGATGGTCTTGATCTCTTGACCCGCCTGCCTAAGCCTCCCAAAGTGCTGGTATTACAGGCATGAGCCGCCGCGCCTGGCCCAGTCCAGGAAATGATTTAAAGCTGGTCACCAGCTTCCACAAAGATGAAGAAAATACTTTGTCCTCAGGGGTTTCTGTAGGGATCACCCCCATCTCTAGATTTCTACCTGGTAAACACGCCTTCCACTGGGTGATGAGATTAAGGTGATGGATTGTCGATCAACTAGGTCCAAGGCCTGGGTGGCTGATGAGCCAAAGAGAAACTTCAGCCTGTGAAATAAAAAGGCTTCAGATTAGAAGGCCTGATACTTAGATCACCTAAGAAACTTGACCCAAAGGATCACTAGCCTTAGCATTTTTTAAAAATTCATTTTATTTGGAAAAAGGGAAAATACAGCAACGGACTCACTCATTCCCCAGAATTATTATCATCTTGTGTACTTATTTCAGATCTTCTTGTATTATATTTTTAATAAAGGAAGGTACTCCCTTTATCGCTGTTAGTGATAAGGAAGCCGTCTTTATGCTTCTTTTAGTGCTTCCTGTAGTTCTTTCTACCTTCCGCTTGCCTATGAGGCAACCACATGCATTTGTTGGTTTCCTTCCTGTTAATGTGTTCATTTTATTAAATATTATACATAGTACATAGGCACACATACATAACAAATAAATGTGCATATATGTATGCATATACATATATATATGGTATTATTTATTTATTTATTTATTTATTTTGAGACGGAGTTTCGCTCTTGTTACCCAGGCTGGAGTGCAATGGTGCGATCTCGGATCACCGCAACCTTCTCCTCCTGGGTTCAGGTTCCTGCCTCAGCCTCCTGAGTAGCTGGGATTACAGGCACGCGCTACCGTGCCCAGCTAATGTTCTGTATTTTTAGTAGAAACGGGGTTTCACCATGTTGACCAGGATGGTCTTGATCTCTTGACCTCGTGATCCACCCGCCTTAGCCTCCCCAAGTGCTGGGATTACAGGCGTGAGCCACCGCGCCCGGCCCACATATGGTATTGTTTTAAAACATAAAAGGTATATTGTAAGTTTCTTTTTGCTGTTCTTGAAATGGCTCATAAAAAATAAATGAAAATACAAAATACTGTAGACTTATTTTGGCAACTTGCATTTTTCTACTCAATGCATTTTTGAAAATGAGGCATGTTGACATACATATATTTTTACTTTAGAATAATATTCCATTACATGTACACACCAAATTTTATCTGAGTACCCTATGTATGGACATTCTGTTTCCATTTTATACTATTATAAATAATACCCAATTATCCCCATATGTGTCTCTTGGCATACATCTCTTGAAAATCCTCCTTTAGTTTATGTAACTAAAGGATATGTTCATTTTTCAACTTTAATAGGTATTTCGGGCCAGGCATGGTGGCTTATGTTTGTAATCCCAGCATTTTGGAAGGCTGAAACAGGAGGAGTGCTTGAGCTCAGGAGTTTAAGACCATACTGAGCAATGCAGTGACACCTCATCTCTAAAGAGAAAAAAAATTAAAACACACAAAAAAGTGAAAATGGCACCCCCACCAGCAGTGAATAAGATTTCTATTTTCACCATGTCCCCACTAACACCAGTATTATCAAGCAAACATTAAATGTGTCCTTTTTGGATTAGTAATAAGGTTATCCAACTGTTAAATGACATAAAGGAAAAAATTTTGGTATGTTGGAAAATTCTTACAATATTAGGTGAGAAAGGCAGGAGACAAAATTATATTTTAGCAAGTCTCAAGCATGTTAACTTAAAAAAGTTAATCTACAATTAAGGAAAAAGGAAATCTACAATTATGTTGAAATTAAAAGTTTAATTTTTTTTTTTTTTTTTTGAGATGGAATCTCACTCTGTCGCCCAGGCTGGAGTGGAATGGCACAATCTCAGCTCACTGCAACCTTCATCTCCTGGGCTCAAGCAATTCTCCTGCCTCAGCCTCCTGAGTAGCTGGGATTACAGGTGCACAACACCATGCCTGGGTAATTTTTGTATTTTTTTTAGTGGAGATGGGGATTCACCATGTTGGCCAGGCTGGTCTTGAACTCCTGACATCAGGTAATCCCCCACCCACAAGGTGTTGGGATTTCAGGTGTGGGCCACTGAGCCCGGCCTTTTTTTTGAGGCAAGGTTTCTCTCAAGCTGGCTTGCAGTAGTGCAATCATGGGGTCACTGCAGCCTAAACCTCCAGGCTCAAGTGATGCTCCCACCTAAGCCTCCCTAGTGGCTGGGACTACAGTGCATGCCACCACACCCACCTAATTTTTTTGATTGTGTAGACTACAAGTAAAATGTCAAATATCAAAATTAAAAGTTTAATTTTTTTTTGACATGGAATCTTACTCTGTTGCCCATGCTGGAGTGGACTGGCACGATCTTGGCTGACTTCAACTTTTGCCTCCTGGGTTCAAGCTGTTCTCCTGCCTCAGCCTCCTGAGTAGCGGGGATTACAGGTAGAGTGGCTCACATCTGTAATCCCAGCACTTTGGGAGGCCAAGGCAAGTCGATCACGAGGTCAGGAGATCAAGACCAACCTGGCCAATGTGGTAAAACCCCATCTCTACTAAAAAATACAAAAATTAGCCAGGTGTGGTGGCAAGTGCCTGCGGTCCCAGCTACTTGGGAGGTTGAGACAGGAGAATTGCTGGATCCTGGGAGGCAGAGGTTGCAATGAGCCGAGATCACGCCACTGTATTCCAGCCTGGACGACAGAGCGAGACGAAAAAGAAAAAAAAAAATTTTTTTAACCTGCTTTGTCCACTTTATGACCTATTCTGAATATCTCTTGAATGCATTAAAAATTTTTCCAGAAAAAAGAATTTTCCATATCACTTTTTTTTCACTTTTAATGGTTACAAAGAACTCTACTGTAAAGATGAATCATTTTTATTCTCCTCAAACTCCTTAAATTATTAGATTGTTTTTAGGTTGTATTGCTACCATAAACAATATTGTATGACTATCCTCACTGTAAAATCTTCGTGAACGTCCATAATTACTTCCTGGGTATATGTTCTTCTACACGGAATTTCTGGGTCAAAGAATATGTCTGTTTTAAAGTTCCTATTGCCTGTTATCCTGAATTAACATTCCTGCCAGCAGGGTATAAATGATCCCTTCCCCCATATTTGTGTCAACTTCTTTTCTATGGTCACTAATTTTCTAGATGAAAAGTTACGTTATTTTAATTTGTATTTTTGTGGTCACTAGTAAGATTTATCTTTTTCTTCCCAAAGTATTTGGCTATTTGCATCTTTTATTCTTTGCCCTTTTGTTTTTTAAAGTAATAAATTTTTTCCAGTAATACATAATTCTTATTAAAAACTTAAGAAATACATAGCCAGGTGCAGTGGCTCACATCTGCAATCCCAGGACTTTGGGAAGCTGAGGAAGGCAGATCACTTGAGGTCGAGAGTTCAAGACCAGACTGACCAAAGAGGAGAAACCCTGTCTCTATTAAAAATACAAAAATAGCTGGGCGTGGTGGCACATGCCTGTAATTCCAGCTACTCAGGAGGTTGAAGCAGGAGAATCGCTTGAACCCGGGAGGCAGCGGTTGCAGTGAGCTGAGCTGAGATTGTGCCACTGCACTCCGGCTTGGGCAAGTAGAGGGAAACTCTGTCCCTCTTTATTTCAGAAATACAGTATTTTATTTCTGTATTTAAGAAATACAGAAAAGGTTAATGCCCTTCCCTTAATTCAACCTCCTTCCTTGCCCAAAGAAAAAACACTGGTAGAGCTTGGTATATATTTGTCAGAACTTTTATTTTTTTACAGACAAGGTCTCACATCATCCAGGCTGGATTGTAGTGGTACAATCATAGCTCACTGCAGCCTCGAACTTCTTGGCTCAAGCAATCCTCCCAGGACTTTTTTTTTTTTTTTTCTTTGGAGACAGTCTTGCTCTGTCACCCAGGCTGGTGTGCAATGGCATGATCTTGGCTTACTGCAACCTCCGCCTCCCAGGTTCAAGTGATTCCTGCCTCAGCCCCCTGAGTGGCTGGGATTACAGGTGCCCACCACCATGACCAGCTAATTTTTGTATTTTTAGTAGAGATGGGGTTTCACCATGTTGGTCAGGCTGGTCTCGAACTCCTGACCTCAGGTGTCTACCCATGTTGGCCTCCCAAATTGCTGGGGTTACAGGTGTGAGCCACTGAGCCTGACCAGGACTTTTAAATATAAATTTACAACAGCAATTAAGTGTCACTTATTTCTAGGTAGCTTTCACTTTTTTTATCTCTGCATTTTAAAAATAACTGACCACTCTATTTTATTTTCGTTTTTTTTGTTGTTGTTGTTGTTGTTTTTTTTTTTTTTGAGACAGAGTCTTGCTCTGTCACCCAGGCTGGAGTGCAGTGGCACGATCTTGGCTTACTGCAACCTCTGGCTTCCAGGTTCAAGCAATTCCCTGCCTCAGCCTCCCAGGTGGTTGGGATTACAAGTGCCTGTCACTATGCCTGGCTAACTCTTGTATTTTTAGTAGAGACAGGGTTTCACCATCTTGGCCAGGCTGGTCTTGAACTTCTGACCTTGTGATCCACCTGCCTTCATCTCCCAAAGTGCTGGGATTACAAGTATAAGTCACCACACGTGGCCTTGTTTAAGTAGTTGTGTCATCTGCAAATAATTATAATTGTCTTTCCTTGCAGACAGGTACACTTCTAATTTCCTTTTCATGTGTCAGCTTAATAATTACAATTTTTAAAACAATGTTAAATAAGAGTGGCAAATAGGACAATATTGTAATGCTTTGTACTGTCTGACATGGTGTTGGTTATTCAATTCAGACAAATTTTTAAGAATCATGTCAAGAAAATATTGTTCCTAGCTAAGTTTTTTTTTTTTTTTTTTAGACGGCTTTTTGCTCTTGTTTCCCAGGCTGGAGTGCAATGGTGTTATCTTGGCTTACCGTAACCTCCACCTCCCAGGTTCAAAAATTCTCCTGCCTCAGCCTCCTGAGTAGCTCGGACTTCAGGTGGGTGCTACCACACCCAGCTAATTTTTTGTATTTTTAGTAGAGTCGAGGTTTCACCATATTAGCCCGGATGGTCTCGATCTCCTGCCCTTGTGATCTGCCCACGTTGGCCTCCCAAAGTGCTGGGTTTACAGGTGTGAGCCACCATGCTTGGTCAGAATATTTTTTATTCTATTTTCTACTTAAAAAAAATATTTTTTTGAGATGGCGTTTCACTCTTGTTACCCGGGCTGGAGTGCAATGGTGCAATCTCAGCAAGATATGCAACCTCCATCTCCCGGGTTTAAGCAATTCTCCTGCCTCAGCCTCACAAGTAGCTAGGATTACAGGTGTGTGCCACCATGCCCCACTAATTTTGTATTTTTAGTAGAGACAGGGTTTCACCATGTTGGTCAGGCTGGTCTTGAACTCCTGACCTCAAGTGATCCACCTACCTTGGCTTCTCAAAGTGCTGGGATTACAGGTGTAAGCACAGCACCCAGCCTTTTATTCTATTTTCAATTTTTTTTTGTAGAGATGGCGGGGGGGGGTCTCCCTATTTTGCTCAGGCTGGTGTAGAACTCCTGGGCTCCAGTGATCCTCCTGCCTTTGGCTCCCAAAGTGCTGGGATTACATCTGTGAGTTACTATGCCTGGTAGTAAGAATATTTTTAAAAATCAAGAGTTGATGTTGAAAGGATTTTAACATTAATGGTTAAAAAAAAACCACAACAGTATATATACTTACGATAACAGATATTCATCAGGAACTGTAAAATGAGAATGGAAAAAAAAAAGTTAATTATGTTAAGCCAGTGACCACTGACGTAAAAATCTTAAAAAACACTAAAACCACAAACATTTCTATGTATTATGGACAACTGAACCTAGGCATCTGGTTTTACTCCTTCCCCAAACCCCACTAAAACCATAATAAAAAGCCGCCTTTTTTTTTTTTTTTGGAGACAGAGTCTTGCTCTGTTGCCCAGGCTGGAATGCAATGGTGCAATCTCGGCTCATTGCAACTTCTGCCTCGTGGGTTCAAGTCATTCCCCTGCCTCAGCCTCCCAGGTAGTTGGGACTACAGGCATGCACCACCACACCTGGCTAATTTTTTTTGTATTTTTAGTAGAGATGAGGTTTTACCATGCTTGCTGGGCTGGTCTTGAACTCCTGACCTCATGTGATCTGCTCACCTCAGCCTCCCAAAGTGCCGGGATTACAGGTATGAGCCACCATTCCTGGCCGGATTTCTTTTTTAAAAGCATGAATTCCAAAGGATAAGAAAGACAGAGAGAAACAACAGCTATGGTACATTGGAAGCTCATAGAGTAGAAAATGATTTATAAGACCAAAGAATACTGAATCCTAGGCTAGCAATGGGGAAAGTCAAGCACCAGCCTGAGTTACACTCCAAAATCCACCTCTCCCCTTCCCCAAACCCTAAGAAATTGGTGGTGTCACCAAACAGCTTCATTGGGGATGAAGCAGGGATATGAAAATAAGACTCTTTTTTTTTTCCCCAAGGCAGAATCTCACGGTCGCCAGGTTGGAGTGCAGTGGTATGATCTCGGCGTACTGCAATCCTGAGTTCAAATGATTCTCCTGCCTCAGCCTCCTGAGAATCTGGGATTACAGGCGCGCACACACATGCCGGGCTAATTTTATTGTATGTTTAGTAGACATGGGGTTTCACCGTGTTAGCCAGGATGGTCTTGATCTCCAGACCTCTTGCTTTGGCCTCCCAAAGTGCTGGGATTACAGGCGTGAGCCACCGCACCTGGCCAATAAGACTCTTTGCAAGTACGTTTAAGAAGCAGTGGGACACCGGTTCCCCTCCATAGCTTTAGGTGACTGCCTCTCCCTCATTCTGGCAAAAGACTAGGTGTATTTTCTGGAGAGGTTCAAACATAGGTTATCTGGACTAGGGAAAAATACTAGGCACAGTTAAGTCAGGGTGTCACACTGACAACAGGGGGCTCTCCTGCTCTCTTCCCTAACATGGCTCCCATAACACAAGCAATCAGGCTTTCACCCTCTAGCCAGGAAACTGTAAGCCTTCCCTGGGTATATCCCAATATATAGCCAGGGAAGTGGGAATGACACTGATATGGTTTCCCCAACTAAATAGCCCAGTAAGAACAACTATAGCGACATTCCTATTCCGTAAGCCCCTCTACCACCCAGAGTTTCCAACATACTTTTTAGTCTTCACTCTGAAATATGGCTAGACAACCAAAGGTTACCAGACAACAAAGGAAAAAGGAAACAACAAAACAAACAGAAGAAAGTTACAGGAAAAACTGCAGAAAGGAGAAAATTTTAAACATCTATTATTAATATTTTATCATCAGAAAGTCAATGCAATCAAACAGGCACAAAAACAGGCACAGAACATAATAATAAAAAGAAATCTTAGCCAGGCGCGGTGGCTCAAGCCTGTAATCCCAGCACTTTGGGAGGCCGAGGCGGGTGGATCACGAGGTCAAGAGATCAAGACCATCCTGGTCAACATGGTGAAACCCTGTCTTTACTAAAAATACAAAAAAATTAGCTGGGCATGGTGGTGCGTGCCTGTAATCCCAGCTACTCAGGAGGCTGAGGCAGGAGAATTGCTTGAACTCAGGAGGCGGAGGTTTCGGTGAGCCGAGATCGTGCCATTGCACTCCAGCCTGGGTAACAAGAGCAAAAACTCCATCTCAAAAAAAAAAAAGAAATCTTTTGGAAAAAAGTTATAAATTAAAAATACATGGAACATCCCTGTAGTTTCAGCTATTTGGGAAGCTGAGGCAGGAGGACTGCTTGAAACCAGAAGTCTGAGGCCAGCCTGGGCAACATAGTAAGACCCCATCTCTCTCTCTTTTTTTTTTTTTTAAGGCAGAAATTCAACAGAAAATTTGGACGATAAAGTTGAAGAAAGTTCCCAGGAAGTAGAGAAAATATAAAAGAAACACAGAAGCCACAGCAGGTCAACCAGAAGGACAACAGTGGACATCCAGTATCTTAATTACACAAATACTGGAAAGAACAGAGAACACGGAGGGAACTCATCAATCAAATAATTCAAATTTTCCCACAGCTGAAGGACATGAATTTCTAGTTTGCAAGGGCTCACTGTGTGCCCACACGGTGGTGTGAAAAAACAAACCTTATACAAAAATCAGGAGTAACACTAGAAGCTAGGAGGTAGTGGAATAATGTTTTCAGATGTCTGAAGAAATAGTATTTCCAACAAATAATTCAATACCTAGACAATCACTTAAGTGTGAAGTTAGAAAAAAAACGTTTTCAGACATAAAAAGCCTCGAAAAGGAGCCACTGTAGGGGTTCACACCTCTAATTCCAGCACTTTGAGAGGCCAAGGCAGAAGGACTGCTTGAGCCCGGGAGTTCCAGATTAGCCCGGGCAACAAAGGAAGACCCCATCTCTACAGAAAATAAAATAATTAGCTGGGCGTGGTGGCATACACCTGTGGTCCCAGTTACTCAAGAGAATAAGATGGATGGCTTGAGCCTGAAACACTGAGGCTGCAGTGGGCTGTGATTGCACCACTGTCCTCCAGCCTGGGGAACAGAGTGAGACCTGGTCTCCAAAAACAGAAAAGAAAGCCTCAAAAAGTACATCTCATGATCCCTTCTTCGGGAAGCTGGCAGAATTATGTGCACCATAAAATAAAGTAGTAAGCCTGGGCAACACAGTGAAACCCTGTCTCTACAAAAAAAATACAAAAATTTGCTGGGCATGGTGGTGCACACCTGTGGTACCAGTTACTCGGGGGGCTGAGACCAGAGGATCTCTTGAGCCCAGGAGGTCGAGGCAGCACTGAACTGATGATGCCACTGCACTGCAGCCTAGGTGACAGAGCAAGACCCTATGTCCAAAAATAAAAAAAAAAGATTTACGGCCGGGCACGGTGGCTCACGCCTGTAATCCCAGCACTTTGGGAGGCTGAGGCGGGTGGATCACGAGGTCAAGAGATCGAGACCATCCTGGTCAACATGGTGAAACCCCGTCTCTACTAAAAATACAAAAAATTAGCTGGGCATGGTGGCGCATGCCTGTAATCCCAGCTACTCGGGAGGCTGAGGCAGGAGAATTGCCTGAGCCCAGGAGGCGGAGGTCGCGGAGAGCGAGATCGCGCCCTTGCACTCCAGCCTGGGTAACGAGAATGAAACTCCGTCTCAAAAAAAAAAGTTTAATAACTCAAAATTTCGAGTAAAATAATCCAGAAGTCCACGTTTCTATCACTCACGGTAGGCTCCTGTCCCTTCCACCCCGGGGCAGGGACCCCTCTCGGGGACCCAGCCAGGTTTCGGCACTTCGGTCCCCACTGGCCTGGCCGCTCCGACGGAAGGGCTCCTGCAACTGCGCTGTACCCTAAACATTGGCTGAATCGATTTGACTGTTACTTGTTCCAATTTCGTTTTTTTTTTAAGAATATAAGGTTTACAGAACCACACGCAGAAAAGGCAGGGCCAGGCCCGGACGCCCCGCCTCCTGCCTCCCGGCCCGGCGGTGCCCAGATGCCCGACCTGCGCCCATGGCGCAGCTACACACGACCTCCGTCCCGTACTTCGCGCACTCTCCTGCACCGCCGCGGCCATTTCGCTCAAGAGCTCCTCCACGACCGCCGGCAACACCACGGCCATCGCTCCGCAGGACACACCCTCCTCAACAGGCAGACCGCCGCAACCCGCCAGCAGACAGCGCCGACAAGCGGAGAATCCCGGCCGCTCGCCCGCCGGGGCAGGTCGACACGGAGTGACGTCGGCGTGCGTCATCGCGCGTGCGGACGCAACGACGTCGTGCTCAGTCGTCACGGCCCGGCCAATCCGGAGGGCGCTCGGCGCGGGCGCAGGCGCGGGCGCGGGGGCGGGGGCTAGGATCGCGCCCGGCCTGCAGTGCGCAGAGGAAGCGGCTGGAGTATGTACCGGCTCCTGAGCCGGAGCTTGGGCCGAGGCCTCCTGCGGGCCGTGGGGCGGCGGTGCCGGGGCTGCTCGGCGCGCCTACTCCCGGGGCTGGCAGGAGGCCCGGGAACCGAGGTCCGGGTGCCGCTATCCCGAGTTGCGCCGCACGGCCGGGGCCCGGGCCTGCTGCCGCTGCTGGCAGGTGAGGGGCGCGGGCCGGGCGGGGCCTGCCGGGCGGGGACAGGGGCGCGGGCCGGGCCCGCTGACCTCAGAGCCCCTTCCCGCAGCGCTCGCCGGGTTTTCGAGCCCCGCTGCGGCAGAGGAGGAGGAGCAGCAGGGAACCGACGGGGCCGCCGCCGAGGACGGGGCGGACGAGGCCGAGGCCGAGATCATCCAGCTGCTGAAGCGAGCCAAGGTGAGGCGGCTCCGGGCCCTGCGCCCGGCCGAGCGCGGTAGCCTTTGTGAGCGGGGTCCGGCGGCCTTGTCGCTGCGCATTACTCTCTCCGCCTCGCCGAAGAGTGGATGGAGGCTCCGCGGGTAGAATTGCCGAGAATGAGGTGGGTCATCCGAGAGGGGATTGGAATTCTTCCAGGCTTTTCCGACTCTAAGGCCTTTAGTAATAACCTCTGCAGTGTCGAGTGCAAATGGAGATGGCGCCCCAGGCGTCATCTTTTTATGCAAACGAAATATTGGGAACGTTTTGTAAATGTTTTCATCGATTAACTAGCTTAGCTGAAATCACATTTCACACGTATATAGCGGCCTGAAAATGGCAGCTTAGTGTTGGTTATGCGATTCGGTTCTCTTTTGAATTTTTCCTTTTCTCCACATCCTTTTCTTTTCTTTTTTTTCTTTCTTTTTTTTTTTTTTCTGAGACAGAGTTTCACTCTTGTTACCCAGGCTGGAGTGCAATGGCGCGATCTCGGCTCACTGCAACCTCCGCCTCCTGGGTTCAGGCAATTCTCCTGCCTCAGCCTCCTGAGTAGCTGGGATTACAAGCACGCACCACCATGCCCAGCTAATTTTTTGTATTTTTGGTAGAGACGGGGTTTCACCATGTTGACCAGGATGGTCTCGATCTCTTGACCTCGTGATCCACCCGCCTCGGCCTCCCAAAGTGCTGGGATTACAGGCTTGAGCCACCGCGCCCGGCTCTCCACATCCTTCTCTATTTTATGTTCTCCAGGTTATCTCATCTCCTTCATTGAGCTAAATACCGACTCGATGCCAACCACGTCCAAATTTGTATTCCCAGTAGTGTGTTGCTGACATGCCATCTGCATTTTGGGACGTTAACCTACCTCAGATTTAACAATGCCCTAAACTAAACTCCATCTTTAATGCCTCCTCAACATATGCTTTCACCATCTCTTTACTACCATTAGTTTTTCAGCCTAGAAACCTCATAGTCATTCTTAAAACTTATGCTACCTTACCATTGCCTTCCAGTAGTCTTACAGACCAGCAACAGGTCCTGTTTCCAACAAATGCAAAATATTTCTAAATATTTCTCAAATCTCCCTATTTCTGTATTTCCCCTGCTGTCACCCTAGTGCAAACCATCACTGCCACCACCTATGCTCCAGTAGTCTTCCCTGCCCTCCTGTCTCCCTGCAGTGTATTCTTGCAGAAACCAGAGTGACAAAAAAAAAAGCAAATTGTATCATATCATCTCCTTGCCTGAAAGCTCTAAATGGCTACTCACTGCATTTATGATAAAATACAAACTCCTTGTTATGGCTTGCAACACCCCACATCTAAACCAGCATACCTTGCCCACCAGTTTGGCAATAATCCTCTGGCTCACCATCCTTCCTTCACATCTGGTTCTTTCCATTTTTCCCCTAAAACCATTCTCTGCAGCTTGTAGGGACTTCATTCATTCTCTACTCTCTCTGTTTGAGTTATTCTCCCCAGTTCCTTACTTGGTTGACTCATTCTCATCCTTCCTACCTCAGTTTAGCTGTCATGTTCTTGGAAGGCTAACCTAATTCCCATTTAGAGGAGATCCCTATCATTTCTTTCTGTCATCTTTATAGCTCTTATTAGTTTTAATTAAGCTTATTTACTCTATATGGTCACCTCCAGCCTGTAGGAAATTAGACGATGAAGGACATCTTTATAACTTCCTTATAAAATATGTTGTAAGGATCACATTTATTCTGCCCGAGTCTCTTGGCCAAAACTTCATCAGATGGCCACACCTAGCTGCAAGGGAGGTTTACCTCCCTGTCACCTCTGTAGACAATGCCTTGTACCTAGTAGGATTTCAGTAAATGTCTGATGAATGAGTAGCTTCTTTCTATTAGTTGGAATGCATAGTTACATCCACTTCTGTCTGGTAGCATATGCATCTACTTTATGTTTCATTTTCTATTACTTTGTTTGTCTTCTCTTTTCAGTTGAGCATCATGAAAGATGAGCCAGAAGAGGCTGAGTTAATTTTGCATGACGCTCTTCGTCTTGCCTATCAGACTGATAACAAGAAGGCCATCACTTACACTTATGATCTGGTAACTCTTATCACTTGTCTGAACCACTGAGGAGAAAGGTTGGATGGAAGGGGAGGGTTGTTAGTTCTCCTGATTTATATTCCTGACTTTCATGATGTTCTAAAGCTCTTTTTCTTTTTTTTTTTTTTTTTTCTTTTTCCCGAGACAGAGTCTTGCTCTGTCACCAGGCGCCAGGCTGGAGTGCAGTGACTTGATCTCGGCTTACTGCAACCTCCACCTCCCAAGTTCAAGCAATTCTCCTGCCCCAGCCTCTTGGATAGCTGGGACTACAGGCGCATGCCACCATGCCCAGCTAAGTTTTTTTGTATTTTTAGTAGAGATGAGGTTTCACCATGTTGGCCAGATGGTCTCGATCTATTGACCTCATGATCTGCCCGCCTTGTCCTCCCAAAGTGCTGGGATTACAGGCTTGAGCCGCCTGTACCCGGCCAAAGCTCGTTTTCTTTTGGCTTCAGGTTTGTTTTGTTTTTGTTTTTGTTTTTGAGATGGAGTCTTGCTCTGTTACCCATGCTGCATTTCAGTGGCGCCATCTTGGCTTACAGCAACCTCCACCTAGTGAGCTCAAACAATTCATGTGCCTCAGCCTCCTGAGTAGCTGGGATTACAGATGCGCACCACTGTGCCTGGCTAATTTTTATATTGTAGTAGAGACGAGGTTTCACCATATTGACCAGGCTGGTCTCCCAACTCCTGACATCAGGTGATCTACCCGCCTTGGTCTCCCAAAGTGCTGGAATTATGGGGGTGAACCACCATGCCCGGCTTCAGTTTTTTTTTTTACCCTTGGGGTGACATAAGACCTCTCAATTTCAGACCAAAAAGAAATCATTATCATTAGCATGTTTCTTTTTTTTTTTTTTTTTGAGACAGACTTTTACTGTTGTTGCCCAGGCTGGAGTACTACAGTGCGATCTTGGCTCAGCACAACCTCCGCCTCCCGAGTTAAAGTGATTCTCTGCCTCACCCTCCCAAGTAGCTGGGTTTACAGGCATGTGCCACCACGTCCTACTAATTTTTGTATTAATAGTAGAGATGAAGTTTCTCTGTGTTGGTCAGGCTGGTCTTGAACTCCCAACCTCAGGTGATCTGCCTTCCTCGGCTCCCCAGAGTGCTGGGATTACAGGCGTGAGCCACCGTGCCCAGCCATTAATGTGTTTCTTTAATGATGAGTGGACCTAGATTTGGTTTGTTATCAACAAAATTTGTGCAAGTATTTACTTCAAACATGATTACTGTTCTGTGCTTCTAGCAGATTAATTGGTGACATGCTTTTCATTTTAAACTGTTTTTTCAATTTTGAGGGTGAAAGCAAAAGGGAATTTTAAAGTTTGAAATAAATAGAAACAGTGCTGTAAACTGAAAAACAATTTGTAATTTGCTTTCAGATGGCCAACTTAGCATTTATACGGGGTCAGCTTGAAAAAGTAAGTAAATTACTTTGTAATACCTTGAATTTGTAAAGGAGTAGCCTCAAGGGAACCGTAATAGTAAGGGTACAGCCTAAGCTGCTATAACAAAGAGACCCCAAGATAGTGACTCAAACAAGATAAAAATGTATTTCTCTTTGTTGTGTTAGTCCAGAGATAGGCTAAAGACTGAAGGCAGATAGACAAATAGGCACCATTGCTCTCTGATCCAGAAGTCCAGATTCCTTCTAAGATAAGCCCTCATTTGCCTGGGTGAGCTGACTCACCTCCAGCCTCCAGGAAGGAAGAGAAGATGGACTGTGAGCAGCTTCCTTACATGATTTAGAAGTTCACATTCTTTCTGCCTGCATCCCTTGGCCTAAATCTTATCATATGACCATATCTAATTTCAGGGGGCCAGTCTGCTAAAATTGGCTGAAAATTTTTTTTTTCAAGATAAGGTGTTGCTCTCTTGTCCAGGTTGGAGTGTGGTGGCTTGATCATAGCTGACTGCAACCTCGACCTCCCAGCCTCAGTTGATCCTCCCACCTCAGCCTCCCAAGTTGCTGGGACTCCAGGCATGTGCCAAAACACCTGGCTAATTTTCTTATTTTTTTGTAGAGACAGGGTTTCACCATGTTTCCCAGGCGAAGTTGAGGGGATTCTGTAATCAGAAAGATGGAGGAGGAGAGTGACTGTTAGGAGACAGTTTTTAGTCTGTGCCACAGTGGGTTTGGATAAGAAGTTAACCTCCAAGGTTGTTTTCTGCTTATCACAGAGTAGTTTAAGGTACATAGAGGATGTTGGGGGTCCTGATATTTTGATCTGCTTTCCTTTCAAAAGGGTATTTTTCTGTGTGTGTGTGAGTGTGTGTGTGAGTATATGTGTTTTGTAAGGAATGAGGCATCAGACTGGTACTGAGAATCCAGGGTCATCTATATAGTG